TATCTAACCATCTCATCCTCTGCCGTCCCCTTCTCCTTTTGCCTTCAATCTTTCCCAGCATCAGGGTCTTTTCCACAGAGTCTTCTCTTCGCATTAGGTGACCAAAGTATCTGAGCTTTAGAAAAAGTTATCCTTTCAACTATTTTGGAGAAATCATACTTCTCTAGAGATTTGGGTTGCTTTATACTGTTCTTGAGCCATAGAATCATAAGAGTTGAAGAAGGCTTTGTAGTGTATCTGATCAAACCCTACCCAATGCTGGAACTAGATGTAGGATGCATCTCCAACATTTTGCTCAAACATGGGCAAATGTAAACAAAGGCATATTTGCCCCAAACTTCTCCCTTTCTGAGAGAATGAAGTTTTGTTCTTTTGAGAAAATGCAGGCAAATCTCCAGGGGAAGGGAGACAAGGAAAAAATTGTGTTTTGGGATAGAAAAGAGGAAACTGGAATCACTCTCTTTCAGCCCCAAATTAAAGGTTGGAACTTCCAGAAAAACAAAAAGGAAATCCAAGTAAATTGAAATCAGAAGAATAAATTGAAATCTGATTCAACGATCCGGGTAAGAATAGATAAACATCTACTTAGAACTGCAGTAACTTTAATCTTTATTTTATGTGTGCTGCAATTATTTTTATGTTTCTGCATAATTTAAGAATATTGTATTTTTCTGTCAATGTGAATCAAACCTTCAAGTAACTTGTTCTTTTATCTTCATTGCTTGCTGCAGATGGTACAATCATCAGCACCATCTTGTGATTTGTGATATATTTACTTTTATATGGTCCATTGGATCCTTTCCTTATTCCTTTCACTTCTAGTTGCTGGATCTTAAAATCAGAACAGTACAGTAATTTATCTTTTTCAGTGTAGATTGCCTACATTCTAATATTTAACACTAAAAGGAGTCTTTCTAGTTTTGTCTTTTTAATAAAGTTTTATTTTGTGTATGTTGTGTGAGATTGATTAAAGAGGAGAAGTACTGATAGCTCTAGTTACATATCTCAGATGCTATATGGCCTGGAGGTGGTGCTATAGCATTTACTTAATTTTCACTTCTATACAGTAATTGCCAGAGACTAACACAAGGATTGGGAGCTCTATTTCTCTGACATGCCAGAGTTGGGGGAAAGACACCAGGTGAAGCACTACCTAGAAGACAGATGCTGGAAGTGAGAACTACCAT